GGTTGTAACGTGAGCTTCCACACGTTCTATCCTCCTCTCTTACTCTCTCTCGAATCTTCTCCCCTTTCTCGGCGTCTCGCTCCTGATATCTGTCCATCTCTATTCATATTTCTCTCCTCTCCGAAACGAGCTACCAATCAACGATCAGAAAACGGGTGGCCCGGAGAGGGCTACGACGACGACGACTGTGACGACGACGAAGAACGACGTCGTCGAGGGCGAACGTAGTACACGGACAGGAAGAAGGGACGAAAAAAAAGAAAAAAAAAGAAAGAAAGAAAGAAAGAAAGAAAGAAAAAGACATACACATACACACGACGGTCGTGTCGTGAGTTCTGAATGAGCCAGAGGCTTTGTAGGCCCCCGAGGCGGTGTACGAACTATGAATGAACGAGTGAATGAATACAACCTGCGCCAACAAACCATCAACCCCCCCCCCCCCCGCGTCACCCCCTTATCCGCACGCCTTTTCCATTCGTCGATCGTTTCATCCCCCTACGACCCTACTTCGCCGGATCCTTCATCCATCCCTCTTTGCTGGAACGTTCGTTCCGCGGCCTTCTACGCGATTGTCCACAGACATATGCTCGCGCGATTCACCTCGTCACAAACGATGTTTCCATGATTCCTGTGTTCTTTCGAGCCAACTTTCACGGGGACGATTGATGATTTCAATGGGGTTACGTTTCAGTGACAATTTTACTGACGTTTTTTTATTTTTGTGATGATTTTAGATTATTGTAGGACGGGATACCTCTTATATATGGATTATAGTAGCTTGTTTGATCATTAATTCGAAGAATCTTGTGAAACTCTAGTAATCACGTGTTCGGTAATATATATTTTACGCTACTTTCTTCTGACAGACTCCAATTTTAAGCTTCGAAGTGGTATATCGTTGGGTTACACCAGATAACTATTTACATTAGAAAAATTTCGAAATTAAATAATTGCCAATGTCTCAATGATACCAACCAAGAGTTTCTCTTTCTCTCTCTTTTTTTTCTGGCAAATAATAGATTCCTTGTACCTCAAGAAAATCCTCTTTCTTCCATTCGGAGGCTTCTAAACTCTTTGAACTCTCCATTTCCGATCCACGAAGCTGCTCAACTCGTTCCAACGACATCCAATACCTATCGAGCATCCCCCTTCGATGAATCTACCCTCTTCGATCGCTCTGCCCTCGGACGTCTCTCAATGGCACACGTGCGGCCACGGTTTAAACAGGAATAAAAGGAAGAAAAGGAAAATCGTTGGAGGACAGTGTCGAAGGTTTGTCTACCGTCGTCGTTGAAGACCGCTCGCTCGTTCGGAGGACGAGTTATTGGCCAGGGGCAATCAAAATGCCGCGTGGCCAGCCTCGGTTAGTTATCACGCGGTGGTTGCTTAACAAATAATCATTGTACTCGGTCGGCACGATTGACTAACCTTTTCCATAAACGTATCGAATGGCGTCACGATGGCCGTGCCTTTTTTGGCCCGGGTAAGTCAGTAAACCGTAGGGAATCGCGCACGGGATTCGACACCGATTCTAATTTATGCAGAGAGGCGGCCGTGTGTGCGACACAGACACAGACACACACACACACACACACACAGTGTTCCGTCCACGTGCGAGCAGGCATACGTGACAAAACGGAAACGGATCCTCGTCCAGCTACACTATCCTCGAAATATTTATCGGCGTAAATATACCATTCAAATTCGTCGAGCGCTCGTGCCGATTATATTGAGTTTCGTTTGGACTCGTCGAGCAACTGGACGTTCTATTTTGCGTTCAAGTTTCGAAAGGTTTGAACCCACGACAGACGACGACGGATTGTGGAAGTATTTGTGGAAAAAGTTTGTTTTCGAAGTTTTGGAATATTGTTTCCGAGATCTTTCAGAGTTTTCGAAGGCAAATTTTTAGGAAACTCTGTTTCTAGGAAGCCTACATTTCGATGAAAATCGACTTGCGATGAATTCTAGTTAATATAAAAAAGAAGATCAGTATGTTAGAGATAATTGTCTAAAATTAAATATCTCATATTAGTAAAAATACAACGATAATAAGAAACTTTGAAGCGCAATATTGCCACGCAGTATGAAGAAAAATGTATGAATATTCAACAAAGGTGTTTGATGATAAGAATCTGCTACGACAACGAATTATTTCCAAGAACAGGGATAATTAGTTAACTGCGACTGAATTGAATTTGGAGGTGTGTTTTCCAGGTAAAAACTGATCGAAAGATTTCGCAGATTTTTTTCGTTCGGGCTTGGCGAACTGTATCGTGATACTGGTGTGCAGGTATAGAACGTGTCGTTGCGAAGACGACCAACACAGGCGACCGTATAATAGACTCATTATTTCTGCTTGCCGGAGCACTGTTACGTTATGTATCGCGGCTCTTCGAGGTCTCTGGTTCGACTCTCGCTTATCCTCGCTTTCGACCTCCTCCTCTTGGAACCGACGCATTACGCTACACTCCTGCACGCGCGTTCTCCAACTTTTCCAACCGTTCGCGACGGGTCGCCCTCGCCGTAATTCATTCGATTATTCTAACTGCTCATTATGTCGTTCATTCAGTCGCTACGATTCTGCAAAAACAAACAGTCCTAGCATCATCCTGCTGAATCATGGCAGGGGAACCACGTAATTGCAACCTTCGACGCGAGCGAAAATACTTTGATATTCGAAAAACCGTATGGATGTTACGAGCGTGCCCCTTGATTCTCGGAAGATTGTGACAGGCTATCATATTTTTCGCCAGAGAGGAAGATTTTCACATTCAGAAAGGACTCTGTTCCTCCGCACAGCGAGTATATATCTTTCGTATAAATAGAAATACACGTGGTCGAGTCGAGGTCTGAAATTAGGAGAGACGCGGAGGAATACGGTGGATTTCTTTTTTTTTTTTTTTTTTTTTTTTTTTTTTTTTTTTTTTCTTTTCTTTTTTTCATTGGACTAAACGCGAGGATGTCGAGAGAAGCAACGGAGCCCGGCGTCGTCTCCATTGTCCGCGGCGAAGCGTGCAGAGGGCCCGACTTTCCCTCGTTCACCCACGGTCACTGCTGCAATGACGTAAGGCCTCCGGCTAGGTAATTGTTACCTATGTACGCCACGAACGTTCGCTTCATAATGTTCTTCTCTGTTCCGTTCTATTCGACCGGGCCACTACCGATTCCCTAACGCGTGTCAAACGCTGTCCAGTTTTACGATAGCTTCCAAAAGAATCGCGTCAATATTTTTGATACACTGTTGGATTTACACACACTCCGAAAATAATCGTGATACGTTTGCGCAATTTCAGATTTTTTTCACCTTTTTCCTTCATTAATAATTTTAATTTTATTAATAATTTTAATTATAGTTTGTAATAAAACATTAAATTGCAAATTTAAAAAAAATTAAATATTAATTATTATTACAAAAAATTTCAAGTTAAATAAACTGAGTCTTCAAAATTAAAAAAATTATATATATACATAAATTTTAATTTGTAAATTATATAATTATAAATAATTAACCCTGATACGAAAGGTACATAACAAATTTTACTTATTTATTTTTTAAAAGTTCATTTTCATTACTTTGAAATCTAACAGCACATCACATTTGTACGATTCTGTATCTTCGAATCTCTCGTAAATTAAATATCTACAGTCCAATGACAATGTGCCTTCAACCGTGAACCAAAACCGTGATCAAAAACCAGAAAATATTACCAATATGCGAACCTGAGAATATCACAACGTTTCCCTAAAATGATTTCCACGATAACAGGTAGCTGTCCGGACTGATTATAATAAACAGAATCAGTGGAATTAGAACTGCCAGTTATCACATCGATCAGTGGAAACGCCGGTATTCCCCTATATTCTTGTATCGGTCGATTAGCCGAGAAACGGTGGAAAAAATCAGGGGCAACGGACAGACAGAGAGACTGTTCGATCGGATGAATGGGACGAGCGATTCACTCCCTGGCGAACGGAGCCGAGTTTCCCATTGTTCGTCCGTGGAACGACGAGTCCTTCGGCTGAATGAGTTGCGTCAGAGTTCAGCCGATGAAAACGCCGAGAATAAGGTGAATCACGGCGCGGCGCGAATTGCGCACCATGAACGGGGCCGCGAGAGATATTGCAATCCCCTGGCGAACACCCCGAACTCCCCGAGAGTCAGAGCTAGGAGTCTTGGTTAACGAGCCTCGGCCTCTCCTCTTTCAGTAATTCCTCCATCGCGCCCTCAAACGCGGTGAAATCGCGCGGATTGTCCCTGTCCTCCCGCTTCCCCTTCTGCCCTCGTCTTCCTTCTTTTTTATTTTTTCTTTTTTTGTCGCACGTTCAAGAGGTGGGGAGGGAGGGGACGGTTAAGTTTTAAGAGGTTGAAACGAGACGCGATAATGAGAGGACTTTTGCGGCAACACGTGCAAACGCGCGGCGTGCGGAGAGATGCTATCAGCACCACCCTGACGTAACAATGAGAAACTTCTCCGCGCCCGCCGCAACTCGCAACGCTTTCCTTCGCTCGTCGCTCGCAATCGAGGGGGGAAATAAATAAATCGGCTTGTCGCACGCTGCACTTGCCGCGCTCTTGCGTCCTCCTGGTCAGCCCGGTTTCCCAACCGGGATCACTCGGGAGTAATCTCGCGGGAGGATCGGTCGAGGAGGAGGAAAACTAACCGAAACGCAATTTTCAGTATTTTATCTGATAATGCAGTGCATGCATCCGACGAACATATACGTTTATTATATATATTATATTATATTATTATATATATATATATTTATTATTTGTTATAAATATTGCCGGTCGAAGAAATATATATCGAAAAGCAACTGATGGTACGTCAATTTGGAGAATTTCTATAGTGTTGCAATTATCGAACGACGCGTTGGACAACTAATTCGAGCAACCCCAATTTTTCTTTCTTCGTTTCTCTCTCTTTCTCTCTCTCTCTCTTTGTTTTTCGTTTAAGGAAACTGGAGCGGAGGATAGATGAAAAGTGAGAGACACTTACCATCGTTATGATACTGTCTCGAGGGCAGAGAGACCGCGACGGTAGGTGGTTGCAAGGGTGGGCCCGTCGACTGATTCCCGGTGCTTTGAGGCCCGGCCGAGCTCGAGTTCGAGGTGGCGGAACTCGCTGGCGTCGCTGGACTCTTGTGTTCCGGCGTCGCGGCCTGATGCGCCCCGCTCTGGTATCCCAAGAAATCACCTAACTCTGGCACGCATACGCTTTCGTACATGTTGCTCGTTGGCACGTTCTCCAGAGTGGCCTTCGCCGCGTCGACATCTGGATGGAAAACGGAACAAATTCCTCAGTTCTGCCACCAGTTCTTTTCTTTTTTTCCTTCCTTTCTTTTCTCTCGCCAACTTTAGTTCCCTTCCTCTCGCGCGACTCTTTCTTTCTTTTTTTTTTTTTTTT